TTTCATGCAATTTTTTCCTTCAACATTCAAATACACCAAATACATTTACAAGCATCGTTTTATTCGACATTTTACTTTCAATTTAGCTGGGCTAGAGCGGGGGACGCGGGAGGCGATATTTGGCTGCCGTACTGTGTGTTGAGCTCCTGCTTCACCATTCCCTTTGCCCATCTTTGTATGTGCACATATAAAAGGGTAAGCTATGGATGAGAGTAAATATCTTGGAGCGCGGAAAGATCGGAGGGGTGTTAGGGTGCGCGCGCACAAGCAATCGATTAATTATGTGCGCACGAAATTTCGTTGTTTATTGAGTATGAACCACCGCCTTTTAAAATTGTGCCGGCAACATTGTAATTTATTAGTTTTGCCATGATTTTCAACATTTACGCTGAGTTGTGCGCGCATGCAATATGACAGTTGCGGACGGACAGACAGGCGGCTGCGCAAAGACATGCGGCATGCGCGCATTCATTACAGAAACACGTACAACAACAATATGAGGCAAAAATAATATCATTGCTTGGCCTTTATTAGCGGGGTTCAGTAAGCGTGAAACATGGACCCTCCTCTTGTGGCTTGTTGTTGTCACTGTTTTCGATTAGACTGTTAAGTTGTCAAGTTTAAATTGATTTGTGGCATTTTAATAAATGTTATGTACGCAAGCAATATACATACATACATACGTATATACATATGTGCACACAATAGAATTAACCGAATTAGTTGCGTTGACGAACAACAGAACGATTTTCCAAATTACGACAATGGCATTAAAGTAAATTGCCAATGAAACTATGTTCGACTTTTTTTCGACTTTTTTAATAAAAAGAAAATGTATTAAGTATAGTCTGCATTTAACTCACATATTAGCTATAAATATAGGAGTCAGAATACGCCAAAAATATCATGATTTACCAGTGGTCTTTAGAATAATCTGTAATTTAGTGAAATTCAATGCTAGGTAAAAAAAAAAACAGACACTAAAGGATTTTTAAAAATTTTGAAAATTGTTCCAGTTATACAGCATGAAAATGCTTATTTTTGAAAAAAAAAATTTTAAATTCTCACAAAAAAAAATTCTAAAAATTTTTTGAATCGATATTTGTTAATTACGGACAACTTTTTGAAAAATGTGGCCCTTCCGATGGAGCAGAATTGGCGGGTATTGGTAGAAATATAAGTGCCACTTTATAAGCATGGATAAATATGGGAGTAGCCCAGACAGCTAGTGGATTGGGGGAATCCTACCAGCAACGTTTTTAGCGGTGTTTAAAATTTTGTGCCTTACGGATTGGTCAAATTCGAACCAAAGACTGTCTGTAAAAACTTACATAAACTCAAGCAGAAAAACTTTCTTGCATGAAATTGTTAAAGTAAATATAATAATAATATAATATGTTTATCTTACCTCATTATTAACTGAAGATTGTGGAGACAATCCTTTAACAAATTTGAGGAATTTGTTTTCGTATAATAATTTTATGCGCTGCTCTTAAATGATTTCGCTACCACACTTTTCACATTTCACTTCAGTTTTATTGACAATTTTTTTTTTAAATACGACCAAACAGCACTCCGCGAGCTTGTTAGAAGATCAGTTTTTATTGGCAAATAAATTTAAAAAAAGTCGAGAGTCGAAAGTGAAAAGTCGACTTCAGTCGACTTCCATAAACTGAAAGTCGATCACTAAAATAGGACTTTCAGGAGTAAAAAGTCGATTTTGGTCGAAAGTCGAAGTCGACTTTGCCATCCCTACAGTGTACAGTTACGGTCATTGTAAGTGGGACAAGTAGGTGACACGCACTCGAAGACTCATTGCATCTGGTAGGTAGAAAAAATACTGCTAAATATTTTGGGCCTACTTCTATTGGTTCGGTATGAAGAAATGTATGTAAATCTTCTTCCTATTTATTGGCGCTATAACAGCCTAAGCGATTTTGGCCGAGTCCAACAGAATACGCCGGTCATGTCTCTTCTGCGCTAACTGACGTTAATGGGAAATGCCAAGTGAAGCCAAGTCCTTCTCCACTTGGTCTTTGCAACTCAGATTAGGTCTTCCTATTTTTCTTCCTCTGTTACCACCTACAGACATCGCTGTAAATCATACAACCTATCGTTCTATCGTCTGCATTATTCACCCTCGCCAACGAACAAGGGCTCGTATATCTTAAGCAGAACCTGTCTCGAAAACTTCAATAGCCGCCACAACAATTGTTTTCATTACGCATGCCTGCACGGGCATGATGAGTGCCTAATAGTGTCTGATTATTGTATATCGAGAGAGGACTTTACTTCTGAATTGCGTACTCAGTCCAAAGTAGTAGTTATTGTTGATAGTGGCTCTCCGTTGGATTTCAAGGCCTACGTGATCATTTGGTGTTAACGCTGGTTCCCAAATAAACGAAGTCGTCTACTTTTTCAAAATTGTAACTGTCATAATGTCGTGGGTGCCAAGACGTTTATGTTCTGAATGTTGACAGGAGATACTTCGTTTTATCCTCTTTCACCATCAGACCTATGCGATTTGCTTCTCTATCTAGTTCCGAGAAGACAGAACAGACGTAGCCCTTGTATTTACCGATGATGTTGATGTTGCCGGTATACGCCAGAAATTGTACGCTGATGTAAGGATTGTTCCTAAGCGGTTCAGTTCTGCCGCTCTTTTTATCTTCTCCAACATCGAATTAAAGAAATCACACAAAGGCAGTCGGCTTGTCTGAAACCTCGCTTGGTATCAAACGGCTCGGAGTGATCTTTTCCAATTCTGACGGAGCTGGTGGTATTGCTCAATATCATTTTACACAGCCGTATTAAGCAGGGATCACACGATTTGTATACTTGTACTTTGTACTTGTTACGGAATTGTGTTGTTTGGAAAGTTCTTATTGAGCTGATCTCATTCTATGACTGCAAAAATGTACAACTCTGTAAAAATGTTTCGCGGAAATTCCAAATTCAGACATCGCGGCGTACAGGCAACTACTTTCAGTGCTATCGAAAGCGGCTTTAAAGTCGAAAAATAGATAGTATGTGTCCTTGCTATTCTCGCGGGTCTTTTCGAAAATTTTGCGTATTATGAATACCTGATCTATGGAGAATTTTCGAGGTCTAAAGCCATACTGATAAGGTCCAATCAGTTCGTTGACGGTGGGCTACAGTCTTTCACACAATATACTCGATACTTCCCTTGTTTAGAAAGCTGATCAAGTGGGTAATTGGCGCGTATGGCGGGGTCGCGTTTCTTGTGGATTGGACAGAGCACACTTAAATTCCAATCATCATGCATGCGCTCATCTAACCGTATTCTGCATAAGAGTAGATGTGCGCGTTATCAGCTCCTCGACGCCGTACTTGGATAGCCCCGCTGGCAGGCCATCAGCTCCTGCAACTTTGTTGTTTTTCAGTGGCGTAGTAGCTATTCGTACATCGACATAGTCAAGCGGTGAGAAATTGACTCCACCGTTATCGACGGGGGGCTCGGGATCATCTTCTCTTCTACTTTTAGTGCTTCTACCATTCAATAGGGTGGAAAAGTGTTCCCCCCATACTTTATGTACACTCTGGGCATCGGTCTCTACGTCGTCTTACAGGAATTTGCTTTGGTCTTGAAACCTTTCGTAAGTCGCCTTACTCTGATAAAACTTTTGGGCGTTTTTCCTATCGGCCAGCATCTCAGCCATTGGCACTCACGTATTTCGGTCTCTCTCTTCATAATGCGGCAAATACCACTTACTTCGCTCATACTTCCCACATCACTCGCGTTGTGCCCGATCGCAGCGTGGTCATTAGGGTTATGATTTTTTTTTAGATTTAAATGCCTGTGGTGGCAAACGATGAACTTTTGTATAAATTTCCAAAAAATAACGGCAATTTTGATAAATTATAAAAAAAAACTCCCGCGCATAGCGGAATTTATTGTCAGTTTGAAGAAAATTTGCACTTTTTTTATTTTGTAGGGGATATGGTATACATTAATAAGTAAAGATAGTTATTCTACATTTCTAAATTACTATTTATGAACTTGTGGTTGAGATTTTTGTCACTTTTGCAAGTGCTGTGAATCTCTTTCATTAATTTCACAGCTCGTTCAACAACCATGTTTGAACGAGGCACATCAAGGACAGAACGTTCCTTTACCTAATGAGTGGTAAAAGGCTTTAAAGCCTTAGCACAATTCATTTTAGCGATAGCAGCATGTAACTCATCATATATGCTCTCTGAATAATGCTGATTTGAAAACCATGCCTTTGCCCATACAGTTGCTATAAAGTCAAAAGTAAATTTCACCTGATCTCTCCGTTTTGGAAAGAGGAAATAAGCAATCAATGCAAATATTGCTCGTGAATTCCACCTAGCACTATGAAGGGCGGCGGCTTTTTCCATTTAAGTAACGCCCATTTTTTTCCTTTTGGTAGTAATTGTATCCGTCACAGAGCTCAAAAAGAAACTTGAAGTCATCTCTCCATCCCAGGTTTTTAAATGATGATATAACTAACGTACCGGTATAGTTCACTTTCATGTCCTCATATTCTGCCAAAAGATCTTCAATGAATTGATAATTGATGCTGGGTGATCGCGATGTTGTTGAAAACAAGGAATCCATTAAGTGACAGAGAATAAGGTCAAGAATATGATGCTGGCAACCTATAACATGAGGCGCGTCTAGCCCCATTTGTCTGAATTTCGTTTGGAGTTTCACAACTACTCCATTCTTGCTTGCCGTGTTTACTGCAGTTGTGTCAGATATAATCATTTTAATTCTGCTCCATGCACTATACTCATCCAACAAGGAGTGCAAAGGAATAAAGATGCCCGCTGTCACAAACCAAAACTCCGACCTGTACCGTTCTTTTTGAATTCCTGAGACACACTGCCTGATATTCTTCATTTTTTATTCTTTTCCCATCAAAATGCAAACAAAACTTTTCTTCAGCGAGAAGCTCTTTAAGCCGGCTCTGTACTTTATCTGCATCCCTGATCACTCGACGCCAAATCCCCGATTACGATGGTGTGGGCACCTTAATTTTGTCTTCAGCTAAGTTTTGAAGAACTTTTGACACTTTGCTTGTTGACGCACACACTTTTGATACCAACTTAGCTGCGGATTTTGTTGATTCATACTTGCGTTTTATGGGGGCGCACTCTTCTACATTGTTCCAATCGGTACTGCTATTATCTTCTTCAGTACTATCATGCTCATTCGTAAAGTACTGCACTTGGCTTGCCGACTGGTCTGAAAACAGCCCTCTTAGTGGAGAAAATTAATATTCAAACATGTTTTTCTTCTCAAATGTTTTATAGTTTTATTAAAGTAAAATAGATTCATGGATATAGTGCTGATACCCATCGTTTTTAAATCAAAACTTGGTAGGCAAAAAGAAATTTCGGTCGAATTTTTATACTAGGTATGGGGCTTTGCCATGCAACGGCCTTGTAAATGAAATGATAGTGTGCGCGGGAGGTATTTTCACGAACCAACAAAAATATCGCCATAAAAGTAATATATGGACAAAAGTTCATTAAATGCAAGCACAGGCAAATCAAAATTTAAAAAAAGTGTAAAAAAATCATAACCCTAGTTGTCATGTAGGCGGTATTTCTTCTCTCTGCAGCTTCTTCACAATACTCATCGTACCCGTTGTTCTTTCAGGCTCGCTGAACAAATAAGTATACTAGTAATTTTAACTCATCAGTTTAACACATTCTATAGGCTTTATACTTTGGATTGGTATATATGAAAAAAAGTTAATTTTTGAATACATATTTTATTAAAAATAAGCTGGGCAGGATTTTTTCGGCCCACCCACTCGCCAACACGTTAAATTTGAAACAAAGTAGATTTCATTCATTAAAGAGACGCCTTTATTCGGATCTTCTACTAATATAATAATATCTTTTTCTTATACATAAATTAATGGTTTTACATACCCTGTGGGGAAAATCTTCTAGTACATTTAGACCCAGTACTGCTTCGCGATAAATCTCTTTTGCATGCAAGCAACTGGCGAATTTAACATGGCGATGTCCTAGGATGTGTCAATTGCCCCCAGCTGCATCCCTTTTTCGATAGTTCCGAACTAGACCTAAATTCTATAGTTCCGAACCAGTTCGAAAATCGACAGACGAAAGAAAAAAGTATCATGATTTTTCAATCTTTTTGGTTCATCCGTGGCGCGATTTTAAGCTATTTTGGAAGAAATGTGTTTTCAATTTGAAATTAAATTTCTTTGAATGATTGTAAGAAATGTACGTTTACATACCTTTAGCTGTAGCTGAAATTGCAGAGGTGCTCGCTGTTATTCCTTAGACTCCAGACGGTCCCAAGATGTTGAAATGTTAACACAAATTTTAGTTTTGTATTACCAAGCTATGAAAAAGCATCTGCGAAGCATAGAATAGAAGCGTATTTGAACGAAAAAGCCGCCGAACACATAGTTATCTATGTAAAGTAAACAAGTCCCCCGCTGCATCCCTTATTCGATAGTTCCGAACTAGTTCTAAATTCGACAAATAAGATCTAGTTCGTTCTGCATCCCTTTTTCTATAGTTCCGAACCATTTCTAAATTCGACACTTCTGATATAGATTTCTAGTGAAAAAAACTGAAAAAAATTAGTCTTTTAAAAGTACCACTTTTCGCCGATTTTGGACTGGTGGGAATCTAGTTCCTATCGGACTAGTTCCTTTTTGGCGATAAAGACCTAGTACGGAACTAGAAATTTGATTCACTAGTCCGCGGTTTCCCTGCAGGGTATGTACATACAGCTACTTTCATTAACAATTCTAAGGTATAAACAATTATACATATATCATTAGAAGGGTATTTTGATGCTGATGTGCAGACCATTTTTAAAATTTCAAATTAGTTTAACATAAAGCGGAAAAGTCAATTCAAAATTGACACCAATACCAAAGCCATACATGTACATGGTTGGGCCGGAAAGGCCACCTAAATGTATGCTTTAATACTGACTACTATCGCCCCGTTGTCGAAATTCGACCACCTCAATTTTTTTACACAATTTTTCATTTTGCTTGGGAACTTTTTATGTCCATAATCACCTGTTGATCATCTAGGTCTCTTATATTGTTTGGTGGAGTAATATACATTATGTTAAATAATTTTGAAATTCATAGCAGCAGTAGGGAGGAATAGATTTGTATGGGATTTCGTTAGCGTATTAATATATAGATATTGAAAAGAAATTACATTGGAACCACTTATAAGTTGCCGTACCAATGCACTCTTCTATGTCAGTCGCATCACATGAAAATATTTCATGAATTTTAATTTGGGATAGCTCGAATTCGGTGGTAACTATCGTTTAGATAGACTTCACCACTTCTTTTGCTCAGGGTGGGGAAGTGGCTTGGTTTTATATTTTTGCTAATAAATAGCGAGTCAGCTTGAAACAACGAAACACAGAAAAACTGAATTTAGCAGCTTATAATAGTTGTGTTTTCGTATTCTCCAGCAAAAAATATCCAGTAACTTGCCAGTAAAGAAATTTCGGAGAGTAAGCCAATATTTACTCAAAATGAGTGAAATATGCAAGAAAGTACGAAAACGCAAAACCAGCAAGAAGTTGCTAGTTTTATGAACAGCTGATTAATTTGTTGTTTCCGACGCAATTTTCTTAAAAAAATAGTATTTTCCGTCTTATTATATATTTAAATAGGTTTATTTTGTCAATTGCAACTCTAAAAGCACCACAAACAATTATTTTGTTAATGTGAATTACATTAAGCATCATGCCATCAGCTGTTTTTCTTACTAACAAATAGTTGCTAGTAAAAATTTATCCAGTAAAAATCCAGTAAAACTTGCAAGTTCAGCTGTCATTTTTGCTCTCTCAATTTCCCCTCTTTTGCTAGTTTCTTGCAAGTTTTTGCGTACGAAAACGACATCCAGTAAAAAACCAGTAAAATTAGTATTGGATTTACTGGATAGTGCGTACGCGACTAGGGCTAATGAGGCACGCCTTCTTTTCCCCACAGCGGGAAATAACTTCGCTCTATATTTTTTTTACTTAATAGCAATTCAGCTTAAAACAACGAAACAGAATAACTGAATTTAGTACATATTATGAGTTCACCCCTCCTTTTCCCCACTGTGGGGAAGTGACTTCTTTCTTTATTTTTGCTACTTAATAGCGAGTCAGCTTAAAACAACGAAACCCAAAATAACTGAATTCAGTAACATATTAGCCCTGTTCGCGTACGCACTATCTACATACTTAATATAATAGAAAAGGTGTGGGTGAATATTTAGATAAAGAAACGAATACAGATAAAGGTTGAATTAAAGTGAAGGAAGTGATAAATATAAAAATTAAAAGAAATAAAAACGGCAGACAAAGAAAGAGATAAAGGTAGAGAGAAAAAAAGAGAAAATGAAAGAGATAAAATTGTTAGGTTGTGTTGTGATGTGTGGTCTTGTGTTGTCTTGTTATGTTATGTTGTGTTATGTTATCTTATGTTATGTTTGTTATCTTATGTTATGATATGTTATGTTATGCTATGTTATGTTATGCTATGTTATGTTATGCTATGTTTGTTATGTTTTGTTGTGGTGTGTTGTGTTGTGTTGTGTTGTGTTGTGTTGTGTTGTGTTGTGTTG